TCTCTCTCTCATTCTCTCTCTCTCGCTCTCTGTTTCTGTCTCTGTCTCATTCTCTCTCCCGTTCTCTCTCTCACTCTCTCTCTTTTTTGGCCTTTTCTAAAGCACCCATTCAAAATTGATTTCCATAAAACCCACCATGAAAGGCGACAACAGCTTATCCTTGGTCGAGTAATGTGGGGTGAATGCCGATCCGCTGAATGCAAATGATGGCGACATGATAGCAGTAGTAAGCGGAGATATTGGAGGCTGGAGCGATGATAATGTTGGAAGTGGTGGAGGACGGGCAGCTCCTGGAGCAACCGAGACTACCGTTGAAGTGCCGGGATCGATTGGGGGAAGACCTAAAAATGGTAAATTCTACCGTATCCTCCACAGTAACTCTATGAAATAATCGTTCATCAAAAGGACAGTGCCCGCAACTTTTACGCAAAAAAATATAACGCGTGGACGGTATGAAGCATCTATTTTAATTTTTTTTGGAGTTTCTTTCTTCTCGCTAGCTCTCTCTCTCTATCTCTCTCTATCTCTCTCTATCTCTCTCTCTATCTCTCTCTCTATCTCTCTGTCTCTCTATCTCTATCTCTTTCTAACTCGTTCTGTCTCTCGGTCTCTACCAACCTGTGTCGTGACCGTTTGTTGCTGACTCGTCGCAATAGTTTTCATCAAGAAGTTGAAGTCAGCCGTTTGAAACAGGGGAGAGCAAGGAATACTGAAAATTAAAATTATATGAATTATCAATTCACTGTTAAGATTGAACTTCCATTTGGCCTTGAAACCCTTACCTATTCGTCGGCAGCAAAATAGGGAAGTGCTTGAAGGATGGGGAGAGGATTTGAGACTCGACTGGAACCTCATTGCCGGCAAGGCTGAAGAACGAGGAGCGAGTTGTCTAAACAATAAGATCGTTAAAGGCCATTCAGAAAATATATTTCAACGAGAATAACTTGAAGGTTTACCGGTGTCAACGGGCTCAATGTATGCGGATCGAGACCTTCCACAAAAAGACGGGCCAGCCGATCGGATTGAGGTCTTGTGCAAGGTGGTGGCTGGCAGGCTTGTGGCATCTGGAAGGACTGAAAAACGCTAGAAGTTTTGGAGGATTGTAGTTGATATTAAACGACTAGCCCAGTTTGGTAGACACGCTTACGAGAGAGAGAGAGAGAGAGAGAGAGAGAGAGAGAGATCCTGACAATGTAGAGGTGCAAGAATACCTGCAGAATTGGAGGCATCGGCTGTTGGAGCGAAGTGACAGGAGCAGGACGGTGGAATTGAGGCGCAGGCCGATGCGTGAAATTCAGTGTCGGTGGAGTCGGATTCTGGCGACTAACCGGCGGCTGCGGTGGGGCAAATTGTTGCGAGATGGGCATCGGGAACGGCTTGATGTCTCTGAAGACCGGAATTTTTTGACGTTTTAGTAACGTGGACAAAGCTTTGGCGTTAGAAACTATTTTTGGACAAGCAATAAAGCTAGATATTTTAGCGCATTTTGACAAATTTTTGAAGATTTGAAAGGGTTTTATACGATCAAAAAAACATACTGTTGAACTGGTGCTGGTGGCTGAGGTTGAGGTTGGGGTTGAGGAGGAGGAGGTAGGACCGAATTTGGAGGAGTGTTAGAGTCCATCCCATCCTTCCGCTTATCCTTCGTGCACCACTTCCAGTCGGGGTGGGCCTGGAAAATTTATAATTTTGGTGGATTTCAGATTCGAAGGGTCTGAAAGTGATCAAAGTGGTACCTTAAAGTGCTGCTCCTTGACCTCCGTGGCCATTTTATGGTAGGTTTGCTTCTCCTATAAAGTGCGGTTAAGCCAATTTACAAAAATAAGTTTAGAAAGTCGTTTTTGGGCCTTAGGGTATTGTCTTTAACATACCTCCGGTGGCAGCGCGTACCACCATTCTCCCAGAATCTTCGAAACCGTCCTGTTGTCCTTATTCGGGTACTTCATATGGACCATCGGTCGATGCCGCTTGGAGAAAATCATGAACGCGTTCATCGGGCGTCGGATGCGGTCTTTTGGCTGAAAAGAGGCACGTTCTAGAAGCCCCGATAGGCGTAACGTACCGTAGCGCAGCGTAATGGAACGCGACGCCACACTATGCTACGTAACACAATGCAAACAAGGTAACGCAACCCTACACAAACCAGCGCTACGCAAGCAACGTGAGCCAACTTGACGCTGCGCTAAGTAAGCAGCGCCACGCTACGCTACATCAGGCAACGCATCGCGACGTTACGCAAGCAACGTAGACATCAGGTGACGTAAAATAGCGCGAACGGGGTTATTCAGGCTTCTCCGATGCCCAGCTTGCCTTCTTATTCTTGCCATTCATCTGCTGCTCCAAACTGTTTTCACTCCCATTCGACATCGGGCGCTCGTCTAAGGGTAGAAAATTCGTTTAAAAAGTAAAACTTTTAAGATACCTTCAAAACACTGCACTTCCTGCTTGACACGGATCGTCGCCTGGAAATGGAAGTGTTTTCACCGGGATTTCTGGTCTACCAACATAACCAAAATAACGTTTTTCGGATTTGTCTAATCTGGCAGTACTGCCGAAATTTTTTGTTGGGCTTCACCCGAGACCGGGGAGTACGAATGCTTCAAAAAACGCCCGGGACAGGAATACTTTCTAATCAAAAAACTTGGCGGGGTCAGATACTGATGTACGGTGGGGGATCAGGATTGGATAAATAACTGAAAAATGAGATTTGAACTTATTTTGACCAATGATCAGATTGGAAGCGTGCCTTAAAATTCTAGAAATTTTAGGTTTTTAAAGACTTTAGTTAAAACCCATTAGGGCCGTGAAAAATAGCTTAATCAAATAAAAGGTCACTCTGTTACCGAAATTCCAAGAATTATTAGTAACTGCGCAGATGCTATCATTTAATCCTTTTTTACAATGTTTTTAAGGAGGCGTAAAATTCTAAAAACGACAATCAGCTATTCTCAAGAGAACCGAGGACATGTAATTTCCTTAATAAATACATTACGTGTATTTAAAAATACCGTAGACAGTTATAAAGTCTACGCTACTAAAACTAAATTGCGAAAATTCCAAAAATTATTCGAAAGTGTTTTGAAAACTTTTTAAAAAACCGTAGGAACTACGCAATGAAATTGTATATTTATAGCTTGTCTTTGCATTATTATGATTGAAAATTTAATATTAATTTTTAGCCTCGTTTCCGTTTTCGGAATCCGAAAGACCTTGGCCGAGCCCGCAGAATGCTATTAAAAAATGTTTCAGCCAGCTGTGACGCCAAGTGGATGAACATTTTCGGCCAAAAGGCGACCAGATCAAAGTCTTTTTCGTACAATATTCCACCTGCCCTGCATCGCACAAACACTCGAATAAGGGTCGAAAGTAGAATGACGTGGGGGATGAAGCGTGATACTACAGAATCATTATGTTTTTTTGTGTGTGAGAGAGAGAGAGCTAATGAGAGAAGAAAGATACAGTGTGTGCCAAAATGAAGGGAAAAGTTTGGTCGATTTGCGATGTTGCATGTAGCTTAAAACCGAATTACAGGTTTGTAGTCCGGAAAAACCGCATCTTTTGGTCTACTTGAAATACTTCACAATACAGGAAATAGTTTACAAGCGATTGAATAAAAATAGGGAAACACAAGTGACAAAATGATAGGAATCATTAACATATCGTTAACATCAATTCTCAGTATGAATATTAGGTGCTAATTAGATGCAAATTTTGACTGACCACTTCCGGTCGGAATTTTGGCCAGAAATTACGATTTTTACATCTTATCCTGCAATGAATCTGTAATTAAAATCAATCAACATCCACTATTCATACAGAAAGTTCATGGAAATAATATGTTAATGATTCCCCTATCATTTGTCACTTGTGTTTTTCCCATTTTTATACAATCGCCCTAAAAACGTGATCTTTATCGTAAAGAGAATTCAAGTAAACCAAAAGACGCGTCTTTTTTCGGGCTATAAGGCCTATGATTTGGTTGTACACCAGATGGAGGACGGCCGAGAAAACGGCTAAAAACTCCATTCCCCTATCATTTTGGCACACACTGTATGACAAGGCAAGCTAGCAGGGAAATTGCGTAGGCAGCTAGCAAGGATTTTGAGGGCTTTTGCACCAACTGCCTCTCGACAAGCTAGCACAGAGACTTGAGGAACCTCAAGAATCGGTAACGGCTAGGAATGATTCTTTGGGAAAATACGCTCCATAGAGGCCAAACTAACAGGTTAATTTGGTTTTATAAGCGTCTTTTAACTGTAAAGTGTTTTCACATAGGATGGAAATTCCATTCGGGACAAAGCCTATCTTGTGCAGAATTTTTTGCTGATGCCGAAGCTGTTTTCCAAATCTGCTGAAGAGCCCGCTTTAAAAAGTAACAGCTATTTTTCTATCACACTGGCCGAAATTGGTTGATTTTAAATTCCCCTAAAAACCTTGCAGAATACTTTCTGGATAAACACAAACCATACTCTGGGGTAGAAAAAAAATTCTCTTTTGAATGAGCTATGTCACGGACACGTTTTGCAAAATTTGTTAAAAAAGTTTTTGTCGGGGAAAGGGGCAGTGGTAAGCGGCGAGTTGAAAAATTGGTCGTATTCCAAAAACTTTGAGTTGCAGGCTCATTTGAAAGAGCATCTTTTTTCTACCCCAGAATGTGGTCTGTCTTATCCAGAGAGTATTTTACAAGATTTTTAGAGGGTTTTAAAATCGACTATTTTCCTCCAGTTATTTAAAAAAAATCTATGTAACTTTTTAAAGCTGGATCTTCAGCAGATTTGGAAAACAGATTCGAAATCAGCGAAAAATTCTGCACAAGATAGGCTTGGTCCTGAATGGAATTTCCAGCCTATGTGAAAACACTTTACAGTAAGTTAGGTAAACTGAGTCACTCTATTTAGCACTTTTGGACCCCTCCCAGCCAGAGATGTACATTTTTTACACCCTCTAACAACTGCCTGAACCCCCGGTTTGGTACCAGGAATTCAATTATTTTTGCATCCCCAATTCCGAATTACACCTGGCCACGTAGGCAAGCAAAACACAAAGGCCCTGCTTGGCATGATACCTAAAAACGCTACCTAAGAATTCCGCTGAAATCAAAAAGGCTCGTAACCAGGAACGTAATTGGCAGTTAGTTCGGATTTTCATCTTCTTTTTGTCCTTTATTTTTGAACTTCAACCTGTGTCCTGCCCCCGGGGGGCTAGCAAAAGGCATCGGAACAAAATGGAATAGGGCTCAAAAAACTGCGGCTATGACGGTTTCGACTACACTGTACACCTATGTACACCTAAGTACTTACGTCCAACGGAGGGCCGACGTTCTGTAGGGGAGGTAAGAGACCAGCCATCACGATTGGTGGGATGGTTGCTTCTGGAAAAAATATTGTGATTATAGTACCTTTAAATTAAGAGAAAACACACACATAGAGAGAGCGAAAGAGAGAGAGAGCCGGAGAGAGAGAGAGCGAGAGAGAGCGAGAGAGACAGAGAGAGAGAGAGAGAGAGAGAGAGAGAGAGCGAGGGAGAGAGAATATAGAGAAATAGAGAATAAAAAATATGGTACGATAAGACAAAGAGGTATCGAAACAAAAACATTAGCATTGTTCCACTAGGTATATATGAGAAATAGCCAGCCCCCACCCGCTATTAATAGCTATTCAAAAGCCCCGGGTTAGGTGCAGGTCCCTTGTTTTCATGGTGACCATTGGCCGTGTGGGAAGATGACAAAAGACGATGATTTCAATCAAAAATGGCAGTCATTGCTTGCGTCAATAAATGTGACAAAGAGGTTTACGACTGGATTTTGCAAGGGTGGTATTATTGCTTAAACGGCACAACTCACACGGGTTCGGGAGCATCAAAAAAGTGTGTGTTTCGTTAGTTTCCTATCCTGATATTTGTATTAAAGGGGATTGAAAGGCCGAATTGGTAACTTAGACGAGTTAAGGCTAGCCGAATTTATTAAGCCAATCTTTACGGATCTCATTAATGCGTGAATTAGACAGAAATCCAAAATTACAGTGTCGATTTCTGGAGCATAGCAAGCCAAAGCCAAGCCCATAATAGCCAGAAAAAGCCAACCGCTGAAGTTATACACTTCTTTTCAAGAAACACCCCCCAAGCCAAACCCAATCGCTTCAAATATTTTGACGGGGGCCCACAACGAGCACTTTTAGCCTCAGTCTCCCGCTTCTTTCTCTCGCATAGAGCTTCTGATAGAAAATATATACAGTGCGAGGGAGTTGAGAAACAGCTAATGGACTTCTTTCTCCCCATCCCCACCCACAAATCGCTAGAAACAGACGGAGAAATAGCCGTTTGGCTACGTGCCAACGGCCTGCGTAACCGAGGGACAGGGGAGTGATTTTAGGGAAAACAGACTGGCCATGTGAAATGTCTTTTCTGCTTTCAATCGGAAATTAGTCATCCGTAAGGTGTACTTTCATGAAAGAAACGGTACGTTTCCAAACGAGAATTGAAAAAAAATACAAAATGGCATTTTGTCACTAGATTCGATTTCGTAAACGGTACTTCTCTCTTTCCGGGGGGGGGGGGGCGGGGTAATTTTTTGCTGTCGTATCGCGCTCTATAACGAAGTATATATCATTAGCAAAGCTTGCGAATAAAAAATGGGTGAATCCTTTAGACCGAATAAGCAGTTAAAATTATAAAAATCGATAAAAACAACAACAACAACACACAACAAAAATTTTAAATTTAGACCGTTCTAAATCTTTTAAAATTTTTTATAAATTTCTAGTAATTAAAAACTATTAAAAAATGCCATAAGAATAAGCGCTAATTGTTACTAACAGGCAGGGCGAGTGGAAAATAAAACACCAAAACTCCTAGACTTTCCAACAAAACTTATTTTTAAACTTATCTCGACTAATCCAATGATATAAAATTTCGGCAAATCTCCCAAAAATCACGAGTTTCTCGAAATTTAATTTCCAAAAAGTCCGGCTTCCAGAGCGGATTTTGCTCATTGCCGGGGAATTCTGCTCAAAAATCAGAACCCAATTGGGGAGTCAAGGGGTCAATTTTTTCATGGAATATAGGGATTTACGGCGAGTAAGTATAGAATCATCCGGGCTGCAAGTAAGGGAAATTGGTGGTTAGTTTTTTGCTAAATTTCAGGTGTGCCCTCGGAAGAACGTACCTCGCGTCGTTGGAAAATTTGGCAAGTATAGTTAGTAGGAGCTACAGGGACCCCGAAAATAGGTATAACGGAACAGAGTTTTTTGGTTACTGGCGGATCGGCAACGCGGGACTACGTATTGGTTTGGCTAGCTATGGATTCCCCATGGATTTTGCTCGCCGCAACGACACGCAACGCATACGCCGCTTGGCCCTTACGGTATGGGGACCATTTAAAATGACTTGCTGGAGGTGAGTGGTGCGCTACGTGTCGCGGCGCGGTGAAATTTTTCGGGAAAATCCGTAAACCTTTTCAGGTCGATTCGTTTACCTTGAATAGTTTCTTCGATTGCGTAACGCTTTACGCCTCTTTCCTCTGCGCGGCGTTGAAGCGCGAATGCCGTGTTGCGCGGGGCGGAGCGAACGTATCGCGATATGTGGTACGGGGCCTGCCCCGTTGCGGCGCCGCGCGCGCTGCGTTGTGTGCCGCGGTGCGCATCGGGCTGCGGAGCGGAGCCTGCTGGGTTGCGTAATGCGGTCCAGCAAAGTCGACACACATGGTAGGAAAAGTTTTTGAATTGAGTTTTACATTGAGGTTTTGCGTTTTAGGGGAGTGTAGCAGCAGAAAAAGACCCAAAGTCGGTTTTTTGAAGTTGTCGATGAATTGCTGGTGTTTTTTACGACTAATGGGATCGTGACAGCAGAAAAAGACCGAAAACATTAGCATAACCGCTTCTAAAACTCCGGAATCGAAAGAATTAAACAAAGTCGCAACAACGTAAAATTGAATTCGAGATATATCTATGCATTTTAACCTTTAATGAAGCGTGGCAAGATCAACAACACTCACAAAAGCATGACCAAACCACGTGTTAAAATCACACGCCGCCGTCTAAAACAAGTTGTTTGAAAAATAGCTACCCGGCTTCCTCATTATAAGCAGCGCCCCTAGCCACCGGGTTAATCATATTCAGCCCCGGCCCGTCTGAATTGAATCCCGGCCAATACCCCAATAAATTAGCGCTGCCCTGGGCAGTCAATTATTTTTGCGGGGGCAAAAAGGGCATTTTTAACGCCCCGTTTTTCCAAAAAACCCACACACATAATTTCCCCATTTTTTCGCAACTTTTTAGAATGGCCGGGGGTCAAATCTGATCGACTCGGGGGTTTAGCAAAATAATAAGTTGTGCGCGTGGGC